AGGGAGGGGGAACTTAGATACTGTATAAAATTATTTTTAAATGATTCCATATGATTCATCGCACCTTTTCACATTCACATTCGTGAGTGTAAAGTCTAGTACTGTAACAATAATTATAGATGGGAGCCAATCCCGAGTGTTAAGAAACAAACCAGGGAAAATATAGGACTAAAGTTATACTGTACAGTACTTCCCATGTGACTTTTGAAGCATGAACAATCATTCTACAAGTGAATGAAAGAATGCAAATTAAGTTAGCATGCACAAGTTTCTCAAATGAAAATAAATACTGAAAACTGTGTAACAGATTCTCAAAATGTAAACTATACTCTGTATAGGTAAAAAGCAGAAACAGGAAGGCAAAACAATCACAAGTTTAATAAGATGAAGTGCAATCCTCAGTTAAAAAAAATAGTTAACCTAAGGCAAATCTCAAAAAGGGATACGGACCTACCACACCTACCTTTCCTTACCTACACAGTGGAATCAAATTATCTGATGTTAATCTGGTGAACTCCACGCTTGATGCTGCCTGAGAACACATTGGGCACCATTAAGGCTCTAATATTCACTTGAACTGAAGTGTCATAGTCAAAGCTGCAATGAAATCTTCTGTCTGCTATGAATACAACCTGCACAAAATATTACAAAAACAATATTACATTTTAAAGCATGAAAAAATACCTCTATAACATATTTGGCAAGTTGTCTGTGAAATACTAAGAGTACAAAGCTGTCTACAATGTTATGTAGAGTAGTATAAAGACCCACATTAATATATATACTGCTGTATTAATTTATTTATTTGTGTCAAGAAATTGGATGTTTGACAATAGTAACTAATATATACTGTACAGTTATACCTATGCAATTCAATGTGATTCATCCCAAAATGGCTTTGATATAACAAAATGTTTATACAGTACATGTTTTTTACATTACTGTACAGTATTGCTAATTTTAAGCCCTGATTTCATCCATTATAAAGTTGTTTAATCACTACAATCAAGTTGTTGACAAAGTTATTAAATATATTGTATACTGTAATTTGAACTTAAAATGTAGCCAATTTTAGAAGTTTTAAAAACAATTCCTAATTAGATGGTTTACAATAACATCTTGTACAGTATTAACAGCTTACAATATATTTACCTTCCATTACTTATATATTCATTATATAACTTTCATATTAATTAGCTACTATTGTCATATAAAATACTCTCCCATACCATCTGTACTGTACAGTACATGTATGTATCATTTCACCTAATTATATACTGCAAACAAGAGAGACAAATGCACTTATTACTGTACAAAGATTCTCACCAACTAGATTCTAATTTTCTCTGTACTGTTTATACTGTACTGTACAGTTATAGGTAAATAACATAAGAAATATTTACTTATGGAAGCCACCCTAAATGTGTCGGGGCTCACACAAGTGATCAAACTCATTAATATCCACTTGATACTGTATGGTGTTAATAAACATGGATCCCTCAAAATTCAACTTAAATAAAGATAGAATAATAAAATGAATTAAGTGCTGACAACAGCACAGCATGCTGCTTATATTTCTCCAAGTTTTTATGCTAATTGTACCTGACAACAGAAGTGTAAGATATAACACTTAATTCTAATAAAGCCAATGTCAAAATGTTAATATTTATCACTGGAAAATAAAGAAAGTGAGTTTACATCAGTAATGGGAATGGATTCACAAGAGCAGCGTATCTACACTGAGCACTGACCCTAACACGTACTGTATCTAATGAAATAAAATCTGTATGCCCTTTCTTGTCCAACAGGGTGGCTTATGCAGAACCTCCTCCATCTATTAAAACTTCAGCATGTTCCCCATCAACTCTTATAAACATCCACTTCGTCAGTTCTCATTCTTTCTATGTGTCAATACTATACAGGTACTCCCCGGGGGTTAGGGACCAACATCCAGGTCGTAAGTCAAAATGGTCGTAAGTCGGAAATGCTTAAATAAAACATAGAAAATCGAAAATTTGGGTCTCTTTTTCTTGTCAGCACCACAAAACACTCACTTTTAAGCTTGCCAGCCATTTTAAAGTGAATTACAGATGAAAATTTTGCCTGTGTACTGACTTTGGGACTCAAAAATACATAATTTGACCACATTTTGGTACGACTGAGGCAAGTCGCAAGTGCGGGTGGACATAAGTCGGGGAGTACCTGTACGTATATAACCTCGGAGATTACAGTCTTAGTCACCTTTAAAAAACCTCGGTTGTTTCAATTTATTGTGAAATCTATTTTCTAATACCATATCTGCCCCTCTTTTGTTGACACTAAAGTAGTTATTCTTAATCCCTCACACTATCAACTCTTCAAATATCACTTTATAACCACCCCCATTTAGATTCAAATTTTCTTTACTTTAGAGCTGCAGTAAGTATCAATGATTTCAATTCTTATTAACCTAATATAACTGTCATGTCCATATATTTTCTTTAAACTGTAAAAAAAAAAAAATTACTAAGGCATCCCTCCCAAACAGAGAGCTGGATGACACTTAGAAATTTGTTTACATACAACTGTACTGTACTCTTCTGAACACTCTTTCTGTCTCACTCTTGATACTGGCAATCCTATCTAATACAGACATGATATCTCGAGTCCTTTCTAATAATTTTCAGTTAAGAGTACATACATACATACACACACACACACACACACACACTCATAGTCCTCACTTAACCCGAGTTTGCACAACAGGAAGTTCACATTTGCACGAGGAGCCAATCAAGGAAACTGTTTACTTAGTGTAAAAATGTTCCTGGTCTAACACGAGCCACCACGTGTCAAGGCGTCATCATGCTAGCCTGTCTCAAATGGTTCATTGCCTCGGTCACTCTGAATGTCCTCTTGGTCACACACATATCGTAGTGACTGGCTTAATCTTTGTTGTTTTCATGATTTGTCCTTTTTGTTTTAACCTCCACTAACATGAATGCTAATTGACCAAAAAAAATAACTAGTGAGGCTGACAGCAAGAGACAAAGAAAATCTATTTTGTTAGAGATGAAAATAAAAGGGATTGAACATTTTAAAAAGGGAGAGCACACTGCTGACACTACACATACAATGGGCCTTCATGGGGCAACCATACCTACCCTTTTGTGCTCATACAAGTTTTACAAGTTCACAAGTCTTATTGTTACATCTTGTCAGCTTATTACTGTACAACAACAGCCAGTCACAACAATATGTGTATGACTCAGAGGACAGTCAAAGGCTAATGAAGCAGTGAACCATCAGAGGTGGGCTGACGTGATGATGTCTTTTGACACGTTGTGGGTAATGTTAAAACACAAGGGCACCGCATAATTGACGTATTGTAAAGGTGTTTGATTACTTCAAGGGGTATTAATTAACAGTTAATTACTCAAATTTTAAATTTTTGGACCCATATCCTTAACCAACATATAAAGAAGTCCTGTAGCCTTGAATAAAATTAGAAAAAATTCAGTCTTGATCACTTATGCCGAAACACAAGGTATGGTCAGGCACTTTAGTGATTACAAAATATTTTTGAAGTGAAACCTAACAATTTAAAATGGTAGTTAGTTAGTTTCTATTCTTTTGAAAATGTATATAAAGGTGACTTAAAACTTACAGGCACAGTGTACTTGACGTTTTAAGTGGGGACTACCTGTAGTATTTTCTGTTTTAAACTTCATTTTATCTTTTAAGACATAACAATATATATGGACTGTATTATGTTACAGTATTTATATTGTACAGTATAGAGATCTAGCGAGCCTAGAGGTTAAGCATATGTTTACATGGGGGTTCTCAGGCAAAATTCTGTGGTCTGGCACCTCTCTGGTCCCTTACCTCCTTTCTTTACACAAAAAAGGGAATTTAGGCTCACCCATACCTCTAAATTCAACAAAACCTGAAAATATTCATTCATTCATTTAAAGATATCCTCATAGCGTCCCAAAGTCCAATAGTTATTTACAAAATTGAATTTCCCCATTTTTACATTCCTCTTCTACTAAACAGTAAAAATTCTCCCTATATTCACTCTATGCTCTGTTCATAAAATGCTGTATACTGTAGTTGCAAAAGTCAAAATCCATATCTCCTGAAGAAAATACCAATATCTGATAGAACCACAATGTGTAAAATGAGTTAAAACTACCTGAACAGACATACACAGAACATACAAGTAAAAGAATGGATGCCACAAAAGCATTGCTACATAAAAGGTGAAAACAATAAAAAGAAAGTGGGGGGAAAAACAATTACATGGAATTTGAGAGAGAGAGAGAGAGAGAGGGGGGGTTAGGGACAATCTCACAACAATAAGCGATGGAATAAAATACACAGAGTAACAACTGCACAAATGAATCAAAGATGCCCTGGAGAGCAAGTGAATTGGAAACCCAAGAACAGAGATCAAGCACAATAAAAGGAATGGTATAAAAAAAAAATAAAAAAATAAAGGGGGGGGCACATACAATAGTTTACAAATTATATAAAGACTAGAATGTGGAAGGACATAATGATAGATTATAAAGCAATATGAAAGTGATCATGATTTTAATACTGTAATCTACAAAAAATGTGCCAATACTTGGCAAGTGGAGGAGGTTTTGCATGACCTACCTGCTGAACGGTAGTAAAGAACCTACAGGATACTAATTCCACTAGTCATTCTTAAGAAAAATCACGTCAATGAGAACCGTGTCACCCAAAATTCTGAAACTTATAAATTTATTCCCACAGTGGTTAGGCAGAACACTGCAGACATCATACGCACTAAGAGAGAGCAGCATTGGTTTTACCGTTTCATTAATCCGGCAACTTACCAGTGTCAAATGAACCGCTTGACAGCTCTAGACATCAGATGTAGGTGGTATCACCATCCAATTATCTTTAAAATACTCTTTACTTCTGAGAAAGATAAAGAAGTATTCAAGATATATGGATATCAAAGGATTCCACAATCAGTAAAACAAGCGTTAATTCTGTACGGTTTTTGCTTTTATTTGTAATTATTCCTCAACATTCACATTACAATGTAGCCTATATTACAACAAAATATAAAACAAGGAACTTAAGGAACATTACCTGATACTAACCGAGAAAACTTATCGATTTGACAATAATTTCTAACCCTAAAGAAAAATTAAACGGATTGACAGTGGTATTCAGTTACAGGGTAATGCCCTTTGGGGGTATCATGAATGAGCTTCGTATGCCCATCCCAGGTTGCTAGAGCAGCGCGGCACGGCATAGCCACGGCGGCGGTTTGGATCCGGGCGGAGCCGACGCGGACGCTACAAGAGACGTTACGAATACACGCTGACACCACACTACCGCGCCCGCACCACGATCGAGGGATCAGCGGCGGTGCTCCCGGCATATGTCGCGCGCTTAGTATGGCCGGCGGTCCGGTGGGCCGTAACTGCGGCAATAAGGAAGGGGAGGGAGTTAGTTCTCACCTGTGCCTTCCCTATATCAATCAACAAATTATCATGAAAATAAACAACCTTAAAACTATAATGAAATGCCTACAGATGCTGCACAATTTGTCAATTGATGGTTAAAATTTACTAAAGGACTATATACTGCTGCTTCCTTAAAAAAAAATAATAATAAAAAAAAAAAAGCATTAAAATTTCACTATCTACATTATACTTACCCGCGCATTGGTGGAGGAGGAGGAGGGTAACTGTAACAGAGAAAGACTCAAATAAATAAAAGTGAAAACCATTATGACTGGTGGCAGGACAGACTGAGCAGATGTAAACAAACCCCACGCGCCAAGCGGCGGCATTTAACATAATCACGCTCGATTTAGTGAACTGGTTTGCTAAATTGAGAATATATATATATATATATATATATATATATATATATATATATATATATATATATATATATATATATATATATATATATATATATATATATATATATATATATATATACTGTATATACCTGTACACACAGTCGACCCTCGTTAATTCAGACCCCTTTAATCCGGATTTCGGACAAAATCTGAACTTTTTTTCTTTTTCTTTTTTTGGAATATTACCTACGTGGACCTTAAGCTAAAATGCTGGTCCACCCACTGCCGGAATAAAACACCAGCGTCTTTTTGGTTGAATGTAACATCTCCACCACAGTGTGGGGGGGATGCAACTTTTAGCTTCAGACATGAAAAATATTCACCATTTACTGCCAGTAAACAATGGAAACGTAAAATATGTATCAATTAGTAATGAAAAGTTGTGCAGTTCCTTCAGCAAATGAAGCTCACCAACTTACAATAGGCTAAATTACCTTACAACGTGTTTTCAGTAGTCTATGTTGAAGTTCTTAGCACAGGCTAACTTATCATATCATATACGGTATTACAGTTCTCATTGATCTACAAAAAATACCGGTAATAAAAACCTTTTCGATATTTCACACTTATTATAATACCCGGTAATCTACTTCAACCCCCTATTGTTTACAACGAAGCATGACGCACCACCCGCTCTTGAGTATCAGCGAGACGGTACACGTGTTTTTCGAATCGTTTTCAGTTAAAAAACTGTTACATCACACGTATATTTTACCTTAACGGTGCCTAAATGAATATATTCTCGGAAATAAATATTAGTTTTGCTGAAACGTGATGTATTTTAATGTAAAATAGGATAAAATACATGACGAAAACAAAAGATTTTACCTAACCTTCCGATGTTCAAGAGAAGTTACTCGTTTTTTTAATAGTTTTTGGTTAAAATACTGTTATATTACAATGGTATTCTATTCATACTGTGCTTGATATAATGCATTCACGGAAATGTAATATTTTTGCTGAAATGACATACGTATTACAGTGGAAAGTGGGATAAAATCGTGACGAAAAAATGACTTTCGCTTTCTCTCGTTCAAAAGATGTTACCATAATCGCTTTTCGATTGGTTTTCAGTTAAAGAACTGTTGTATTACAATAATATTCTATCCTAATTGACTTGAATAAATAGTATGATACCATATTTCTGAATATTTTCATTAAAATCCATCCAAATCATTTCCCTTGTCATCGTCTGCAGCACCAAACAGCTTCTCCCAGTCCTCTCCTTGGACAGGGCTAGAGGGTACACGTTTTTCGAATCGTTTTCAGTTAAAAAACTGTTACATCACACGTATATTTTACCTAAACTGGAAAAGAATGAATATATTCTCGGAAATAAATAGTAGTTTTGCTGAAACGTGATGTATTTCAATATAAAATAGGATAAAATACATGACGAAAACAAAAGACTTTACCTAAGCTTCTGATGTTCTTGAGATGTTATTCGTTTTTTAATAGTTTTCGGTTAAAATACTGTTATATTACAATGATATTCTATTCATACTGTGCTTGATATAATACATTCACAGAAATGTAATATTTTTGCTGAAATTTCGTACGTATTACAGTGGAAAGTGGGATAAAATCGTGACGAAAACAATTTCTTTGAAATATATAATGCAATATTAACCCCTAAATCGGTTAATTCGGACAATCGGCTAAAACGGACACCCTTCTCCCCCTATTAGTCCGAATTAACGAGGGTCGACTGTATATATATATATATATGTGAGATCGATTTATTCAAGAGTATATACGGCATGTATTATTAGTTTGACGATACACAACAACCAACATAACCAGCCTAACTTAGGATGGAAGTTTATTTTTATTATTCCAGGTTATAAGGTTAATTGAGTGAATGACATTTTATTGAATAAAAATTGGATAGGTCAGTGTGCATTGCAGTTGTTATATGCCACACATAACGTGGTGTACAGCAACAGCAACACCACATGTCTGCTGTGCTGCTTTACACTACATATGTATCAAGTAATAAGAAAAACCGTCATCAGTTCAACTTGCACCTTACTGTAAAAGATAATTAACGTCGTGGGCACAACGTTCAGTATAGCAGGGTACCCCAGGAGAGCCATGATGACCCCGCTAAACTAACTTTATTGCAGAATTATTTTAACCCCAGAATTAGTGTTAAATACGGCCCAATACTTCTAGTTGATTTATTATCATAAAAAATAACAGAAAGGCATAGGAATGGATGCTTTACAACAGAGCTACCATAGGCAGATGTGTGGTTATTGTCCCCCCAGGTAGACCACACAAACACAGCTCCTTAATCATCAGTCACTTTGGAGAGTAAGCCTTATATACATATTGATATTGTAACAGTTTATTTGGCCAGAAAAATACAGTCGATAATGATAACAATACTGTATTGACATGGCTGAGCCACTTGATTTGTGTGTGTATCAAGCTAGCCAGGTCATGAAAATGTGTCAGTGTGCCTGAGTAAGGCAACATGTAGTACTGTACACACGTCTGCCTCACAAAGCCCTCACTTATAACAACAGATAATATTTTTTGCTTTATGTGCATAATTATAACCTTGTTGAACTTTCTTTGTTATTTTATAACCACCATAATAATAATTTTTTTAACATAAGTGTTGTTCGCCTTCGCTTCCTTTGATTCAGTACATATGTAACAATCCAACAACTTGAAGGGCTTAGATTCCTGGTTATGATACAAAAAGAAAGAAAATTACTTAGAGAGCACTATAAGAATTAAACTACAGTGAACCTTCGAATATCTGGACCAAAAGAGGGGACCACCTGTCCAAAAAGGCCGATTGTCCGTATCTTCCGGCGAATGTACTAAATGTATAAAAACAATAAATAATTATATAAAATGCACCAAAAATACAGTACCGTATTTTACAGCTTATAAGACACACCAGTAAATAAAAGCCAAGTTTAACACAGTCGCCACTTGCACACACTCCCTACGTCACCATAGGAACGGATGCCAGCTGGGACGCTGATTCCCTAGTAACGCCCCCACACCCCCTACACCCTCCTCCCGCTCCCTGACTGAGCCAGCTAACTCGTGTGCAAAGAAATGAATACAGTATTCCCTTTACGTGTTTGCCCTTAGGACAATTATTTCTTTTCAAATTTTTCCACAATATGTATGTAGGATGGTGTGTGCAGGTAACTGAGTAAAGGTAAATGAAGAAAGTTACGTACTGTACAGTGGTCCCTCGATTAAAGAACGGTTCAATTAACGAAATTTTGGTTAACAAATTAGCTCCCATAATGATTTTCAGTTCCATTAACGAACAAAACTTCGATTAACGACAGCCTTATGAGAGACACGCTTTGTTGTGCGCATCAGCTGATCGGCTAGTCCGCCAATACAGTAATTGGTTCTATGTTTACATTTGTTTCCAGTGGAGTAAATATCAACAAAGTTGTGCTCTTGAATATTTTTGCATTTTTTATATTAAAATTATTGGTCATTCTGATATTTAGTTAACGTATTGATAATATATACAGTACAGGGAACAGTTTTTGTGTGCCCTTCAGCTGATCTAATCAACCACCAACATTTCTCAGTTTAACTTTGTTTACAGTGGAGTGAACATCGAGTTTTTTGGTCACTTGAATATTTTTGCACTTTTACATTGAAATTATTAGTCATTCAGAAATTTGGTGAACATATTGATTATATACAGTGCAGAAATTATTATGAAACATGAAGAAGGCATTAGAACCAATGCACTCTTTAAAGAATATGGCATGTCATCATCGACTGCCTCTACAATCAGCTGTCTGATATGTAAACAGAGCTGCCTGGAATCCGACATACACACCTCAAAGTAAGTTTAAATACAGTATTCTATTGTTTTTTTATTTATTATTATACAGTATACTGTAAAGTACAGTACTGTATTTAGTTTATATTTAATGTTTTGTTAATTATACTACCGGTATACAGTACTTTGTATGTATACTTTTTCTGTGAGTTGGAACCAATTACCCAATATTCCATTGAAATAATATATTAGGTTAACATAATTTTCGGTTAACAACCGACTCTGTGGAACCAATTGTGTTCTTTAATCAAGGGACCACTGTGTATCTACCCGAAAATACAAGTTGAGAAACAACCATAACACCTCACAGCTTTGCCCAGTAGCTTGGTGGTTACAATGACATGTCTAACCTGGCTACAATACTATGATTAATTACTATTATATCAGTGAACACTAATAACAGTAAATCCAGTAAAATATGGCAGGGAGCGAGGACTTACGACTCTCTAACTAGCGGTCACTCACTCCCAGACATACCATCGAAATACCCATCTTGTACAGTAGTCTAATTTGAACACGGTGACGGGCCCAGTGATAAACAAATTATATAAACCATGCACTTTCCTATTACTATAACATAATAAGAAGCATTGTATTATTACTTGAGTGAATGAAATAATATTCCCACAAACAACAATTGACAGCTCTATGTTTCTCACCTCGGGCACCTGTGTCCCGCGTGCTGACATCTTAGTTACACGGGCCTAAGATGATCTTTGCTCTGTTTTGGGAATGCTTCTTAGAGAGGCTTCTTAGCCCCCAGAACCCCCAAATTTTGTCTGAATCTTCCAAAATTCGGATTTCCCGGGTCCAAATTTTCGAGGGTTCACTGTAGCTGTCATCTCTATCAACAAGCTGCACAGTGACTCACCCAGTAGCACAACACAACAAATGCCGTCCAGGAAGCAGTTTTTCAGACTCAGGGTGAATCATAATTTGATAAAGTGTTTTGAAATGATGGAACTAGTGTTGAAGTGAGAAAAAGTGGCGTGTTAAAAGGATTTTTTTTTGGCTGCAGTCCTGTACAATCCCCTATATATTCTATTTAAATACAGAGAACAATATATCATGATTCATTAATGTACAGTAATCTAGGTCCCATTCTCCAGATACATCAAACCTTATGACCATAACTCAAGCTGGTCCCGGACTAACAATAAGTTACTAACCGTGGAGGTGGTGAGCGCCGTCCATAACGTAAGTAATCAGGATAAGGAGGCAGTGGAGGGAGGCGTCGCTCATACAGATCATCTAGCATCGGTGGAGGCGGTGGAGGATGATCGCCATAACGACGTTCATATAGTCCCTCGTCGTAATAGCGATCATACCGATCATATCTGTCAAAATCATCCTGAAAAGGTAATATTTGGGATGAACTATTATTATTTTTTACAATTTAACTTCATTTAAAAAACATCTAATAATCTCCAGTATTTTCAGTCTTTAATATTCTTCACAAGCCAGTTAGTTTTAGAATTATGTGGAGAGAAGGGTGCTAGCAACACCCATAATCCTCATTATCATTATTATCTCACACAAGTGGCCCATCTAACCAACTATGGGTACCAGCACTGGGTCTCGATGGGTACCCCACCCCTTATTCTGCTAACAAAGCTCAGCAACTATGTCAAAAAGTTGTTTACCTCCTGCAATAAAAAAACTTAAGACACTGCTTTTTTTAAACCTTCATATGATTTAACTAATACCTAGTTTGATGAGCTTATCATTTGGACAAAAAAAAAAAAAAAAAATCTTGGCTGGCATTCTCCTAAACGACTTAGTCCTGGGTCACCCCCACCCCATTTTCGTAAAAAATTCCAACACTTTTTCTTTAATGCAGTATTGTATTCAGGTGTTTTTGTATAGTAAAAACGTAATTACTACTACCCTCAGAATATCTCTTAATACCAAGTGCACATGGCCTCAAATTGTCCATGATATTGGTCAGATAAAAACAAATTTAATGGGGGGTTACAGCCCCCCCCCCCCAAGGGTGGGCTCCCCCACCCACAACTTATTGGACCCCTCCCCCCTTTTGAGAATCCCGGATCTTCCCGCCCGTGTATTCACTAAGTCTTAGGGAGCTGTGACCTGACCCTGCTTTACCAGCTGTTCCCACCTGACAGTAGAAAGGGCATTCAGCCATAAGACTTTGCTTTATTATGCCTGATGGTAGTTGGTTTAACCAAAGCTATACACATCCCCTGGTCTCTTGAATTTTCTGAGCCGATGCAGTTCCAGTATGGAGGTTACTGGGCAAGCACTTCACAGGCTGGTATTTCTGTTTGATATTACTGAGATTGTTTAGGCATGAGGAGAGAATGGATGACACCAATTGGGTCAAAAAGTGCATGAGCTTAAATATGGAGGGGAGGAGAGCCAAGGACAGGCTAAGAAAAACATGGGGAGAGGTTATAAACAATGACATTAAGAGTTAAGGACTTGACAAAAGAAACTGCATGAGACCATGTAACATGGAGAGCTGCCATCAGGTACTGGTACTTGTGGCTAATCCCATCAGCGTGGAAAATGGCCACAAAACGTTGATGATGAATACCCAGAATGAGCAACACAAGCCTGTCTGGAGAGGTGGCTTTGCTGTGATCAATCTGGAGCAAACCTGACTCACAAAGCTGTTGTTCCAGCAAAACACAAAACAATATCACAAGTTGAAAAGAAAGACACCATTTGAGGACATCATCATCAATGATTTATAGCAATGTTCCATGCTTGTGGGGTTAGCCATGATTACCTGATGGCAGTTCTCCATGCTGCATAGTCTCCTGCAATCCCTTTTGTCAGGTTCTTAACTCAAAATATAATTTATCTCAACCGTCCCCCATGTTATTCTTGGCCTACTTTTACTCCGTATTTACACTTGTACATCTCTTAGGCCTAACCAATTGGTCTCCTTCATTGTCTCTATATGCCCAAACCATGTAAGTCCAGACCATAGCTTACAGCCCAGAGAAGAACAACACATAGAGCAGTAACTAGAGGAGCACTAATTTAACACAGATAGGATAGTTTCTTATGTATTAGGATATTTAATATTAAGGTAAATAAATGGTGGCGAAGGTGTGGCTATTGGGGAGGCTGGAGGCCACGTTAAAAAAAAAAAAAAAAAACTAGAGGAGCAGGTGTACACCCACTTAAGTTGATCCACCCTACAGAAATTAAAGTGAAATTAACCCTTAGGCCCCGGGTGACGTTCCAGAACGTCCGCCTATTTTCCCGATTTTTTATTTTTATTTATTTACTATTTTTTTTTTTTAAATTGATTTTTTCTCAATTTATCCCCACTTGCACGAGGTTTCCACAAAAAGCAGCACCCTAACCCCAGGCTTAAGGGTTAAGACCTGACCCAACAGAGGTCACGGTTGTAGAGGGAAGGAGAATACTTGCCATCGGCCGGCGTCATGACCTTGTCAATTAGGGAAGCTGCCCTCCAGCCAGTACACCTGACACCTGATCAGACACACCCACGGTAATAATTAAGAAGCATTGCCAACCGGCGTACCATGATAAGTGACATGACCGTGATAACTCAAGAAACTACCCTCCAGCCAGCACCATGTACCTGTTCAAACACAAGCTGTCTAGACACACCCACATTGGTGTTAATTGTGAGAGGACATCTGCCGGCCTGACACCTCCAATATAAGAGGCCTACAGCTCCTTCTGTCAGAGGCAGACAGGGAGGACAGAACTCAAGAGGCAGACAGTCACACTTGTCTCAAGTCGAGGTTGAGAGGGGGACTTCCCTCCCCAGCACCGCATCCCCAGCTAGCAGTCTTCCATAGGAGACAAAGAATCTAACATCTGCCGGGACCACTCTCTTCAGTAGTACCAGGCCCTGCAAACAGAATCCCCAGCAGCTGGGCCTCCTTCAGGTCACACGTGAGTCATTGTCAGAGCAATCCTCTGGGTGAGTTCCTTTCGGTGGGAAGTGTATCTATTTCATGTTTGTGTCCAGGAGTCACTGTCTAGTAATTTCAATACGTATAATGATTTATTAATGTGTCCATGCCATTCAGTTAACTAATAAAACAGCTGTACTTAAAAGTGTTGTTTAGAAGTTTTCCCCAAAGAACACACTAATCAAGTTAAATAACTAATTGGCCACACTACCAATCTTTCTCACTTTACAACCCTTACTAAAATAAATTCTCACTAAACTTTCTTCCCGAGTTTACTCTCATTACACCACCTCTATGCAAAACTTCATCAGCACTCTCAATACCCTGCCACTCTTTTTCAGTGTCACATTGCACACCCACTTCACCACACCCATTTTAGCTTGCTCAAGCTTGCTATGTCATCCTATGTTTCGCTGCCATACAATGTCACACTTCTCATACCAGTTGCATGTATCTTTCCTTTCAATTCTTCCAGCTATATCTGACTTGCACAACTGAGCTTGCATTAGCACTCATGTCACCCAGGTAGCAGAACTCACTGACACAGTCCAGTGACATGCTGTGTCTTCAATATTAAGCCTTATATAAATACAGTAATATCTCCGTTAGTCGGAACAATTGGTGCAGAGCATTTCCGGGAATGAGTGATTTCTGGGTAATGAGTCGACTCTCTCAACGCTGGAAAAAAATCCCTATCTCCGAATTTAACGGGTATTGGAAATATGTTCTCGTAAGTTCCAGAAATTGCCCATTACACCGTCTCTCGAACCCGGAGAAATATTCCCCATCCCCTGAATTTTCCGGGTACCTAAAATTTCCTGGAATTTTTGGAACATGCACCTGATTTTCATCTCTCAAACCTGGAAAAAATCTTCCATTCCCGGAATTTTCTGGCTATTGAGAAAATTTTCTCTGAATTTTCTGGAAAATGTGCCGCTCGGAAAATCATTCCCAAAGCTGTAATATTCTGGAAAATTCCAACTTTGGGAATGATTTTCTTTGAAAATTTCAATTCCGGCTATTGGAGAGTTTGGAGAGTTTGGAGAGTTCCAGAGTTGATGGATTCCGACTAACGAAAATATTACTGTAACCAAATCAGTTCCTGTTATATGCAAAAAGTTAAAAGAAAATTGCTATTGTTAATCATATTAACAAATAACACACTGACAACTGACCCTGTAACGCAGCATGCGCTCCCTGGCATAGCTTGGGGGTGGTGGTGGGGGGTATGGGTCATATCGACTCCCAAAGCTGCGACCTCGTTCACGTTCAGGGTAGCGAGAGCCCCCAATGCGTCCATCTCTTGGACACTCCTTTGACCAATGACCACCAGATCCACAGCGGTAACACATGTCTGGATTTCCCATCCCAGCTTGCTGCCGAACACGTGAAGTTGACTCTTGGACTCTCAGACGTAAACCGTGGAGCTCATATCCATCAAGCTCTCGAATTGCTCGTTGTGCTTGAGCCTCATCATCCATGTGCTGCAAAGCAATAAAGAACATTTAAAGTACAATGATATTTAGTAGTGCTCTTCTGCTTGTGCCTACTGATCTTTTACCTTTTTTTTTAGAATCACTGTTTTGAGCGTTTTAATTAAAAAGTTGAACAAATTCATAATCACCATAAAGTACTTACAATAAAAGCATAGTTCGTTAGAATGTCAGCCTCGACCACATTCCCATACACTTCAAAGAGACTTTTCATCTCTTCAAGTTTGGAATCTTTGTGAAGATTACCAACAAAGATTTTTGTCTTCTGGTTACCCCCCTTCCTAGCACCAGTGGAAGCTTCAACAACCATCGGCTGAAACCAAAGACATTTTAATTTGAAATACATTTCATTGCAGCAATTAAATCTCAGAATAGAAATTCAATAAATATAAAAATTTTAGAAACAGTATTGCTTTACTCTTGTTACAGTATTGTAATTAAAAAATATTCATAATTTATGACAACCACAAAAAAAGTGTGGTTATTTGCAAGCACGGAGTAAATACTTATTATTTTGTGTTCCACAAAATATATAAAAAAATCATACAACCATAAATCCACATTACATTATTTTTTAATACCCAAAATTCATTGAAGCCGGACTAAAATTTGCACATACAGAGGGCCCTCAAATTCGCAGGGGTTAGGTTCCCAAAATGGCCGCGAATAGCCAAATCCGCGAATAACATTTAGAACTTGGAGGAGGAGGAGGAGGAGGAGGAGGAGGAGGAGGAGGAGGAGGAGGAGGGAGGAGGGAGGAGGAGGGAGGGAGGGAGGGAGGGAGGAGGAGGAGGAGGAGGAGGAGGACGGTAGACTCACATTTTGAATAAATTTGTTTCTGATTACTTGAAAGGATTTTCCAATTACCCCTCCCAGCACACAAGTATCATCATGACTTCAGCTCGCAGCATCAATAACCCTATTAATCCACCTGAGCAGCCATTCAACATTACCCTCCTGTGATGACCCTGACAACCCTACCCCAGCCTCCCCTCACATGAACATGTAAAGTTTGCTGCACTCACTTAACACAACTCTCCTCTCAAGCAAAAACCAATATAGAATATATTAGCGAGTACATTCATTTATAATGTTTGTTTACAGATATTTGTATGTACTGTACAGTCGGCCCTAAACATACGCGGGTTTAGCATACACGGATTTGCAAATACGCGGATTGCCCCACCGGAGGAATATTCTGTACATTGAAGTACATTCAAATCACACGCCATTCAACTCGCACGCGGCACCGAACACGGGACACCGCCCGCTCCCGCAACCTCACACACACACACGCATAGCTCTCCCTCACTCAGTCAGTCTCGCTGTAACCACACTTGTGTTGACATCAGCATTGTAGTTGCAAAAATATTACATTTCCGTGAATGTATTATATCAAGCACAGTATGAAAAGAATATCACTAATATAAGAGTATTTTAACCGAAAACTACTAAAAAAAACGAGTAACATCTCTTGAACATCGGAAGGTTAGGTAAAGTCTTTTGTTTTCATGGAGTTTATCCTAATTTACATTGAAATGCATTACGTTTCAGCAAAACTACTCTTTATTTCTGAGAATATGGAAATGTAATATTTTGCTAAAATGACGTACGTATTACAGTGGAAAGTGACGAAAGCAATGACTTTCGCTTTCTTTCGTTCAAAAGATGTTACTGTAATCGCTTTTCGAATGGTTTTCAGTTAAAAAACTGTTGTATTACAATAATATTCTAACCTAATTCACTTGTGATGCAACAGTTTTCTTAACTGAAAACCATTCGAAAAGCGATTATGGTAACATCTTTTGAACGAAAGAAAGCGAAAGTCATTGTTTTCGTCACGATTTTATCCCACTTTCCACTGTAATACGTACCTACGTCATTTCAGCAAAAATATTACATTTCCGTGAATGCATTATATCAAGCACAGTATGAATAGAATTTCATTGTAATATAACAGTATTTTAACAGAAAACTATTAAAAAAATGAGTAACATCTCTTGAACATTGGAAGGTTAGGTAAAGTCTTTTGTTTTCGTCATGTATTTTATCCTATTTTACATTGAAATACATCACATTTCAGCAAAACTACTATTTATTTCTGAGAATATATTCATTCAGGCACAGTTTAGGTAAAATATACATGTGCGGTAACATTTTTTTTAATTGAAAACGATTCGAAAAACACGTACCCTCTAGCCCTGTTCAAGGAGAAGACTGGGAGGAGCTGTTTGGTGAAGACGATGACAAGGAAAATGATTTTGATGGATTTTAATGAAAATATTCAGAAAGACCCTGGCACTGTCAAGGAAAGTGGCTGCTGAAGGCTTCCAGGACATGGCAGAGGACGAGATTAGGGACCTAATTGAAGAGCACGACACTGAGCTGACCGAGGAGGATCTACAGGAGTTAGTAGACTCAGGCAAGGAAGAGGAAGCGTAAGGGAAAGAGCACCAAGAAATAACGTTGGAGAAGTTGGGGGAGATTACCAGGAATATTGAGGCACTGAAAAACCTGGCCTATTGTATGGACCCCTCCATGGTGCGTGCCCTGAAATTCATGCGAGGGATGGATGACGTTTTTGCTCCATACAAAAACATCATAGAAGAAATGAAAAGAAAGAGACGACAACTCCCCATCACCATGTTCTTTGATCACCGAAGGAGAGATTTAACACCATCAATCACTGGCGGCAGTGAGGAAGCAGCTGAATCCACCGTCGCCCCCACTTCACCACCCGTTATGGAATTGAGTGACGATGAGCCCGATGACCCCGTCCTGTCGCCGAGGATAGGTACGGTACAGTAAAGTGAAATTTTTATATCTTTTTTTTTTTTTAATAGCTTTTCTTGCCATGTTTATTGTTTGTGAAAATGCACAGCACAGTACAGTTCAGTGCTATACATAGGAAGTGGAGGTGCAGTTATTCACAAAACATTTGTGTTTGTTGTCGGCAGTAGTGATGGTGAGGAGGTGGAGGAGGCAGAGGAGGGAGCGGAGGGAGCAAGTTGGGAGGAGTGGTGACCTTGGACGCGGGAGCAGGGACGAGTGGAGATGCCAGCCAGTACATTACGGGTGTATTTATTGTTTTTATAGCTATTTTTGCATTTTAATATTAAATACTGTACATTACGTTTCAACAAAACTACCATTTATTTCTGAGAACATGGAAATGTAATATTTTTGCTGAAATGATGTATGTATTACAGTGGAAAGTGGGATAAAATTGTGACGAAAGCAATGACTCTCTCTTTCTTTCGTTCAAAAGATGTTACCGTAATCGCTTTTCGAATGGTTTTCAGTTGTGGGATTATAAGGCTAATGATAGGATAGAATATTATTGTAATACAGTACGAGTACAACAGTTTTTTAACTGAAAACCATTCGAAAAGTGATTACGGTAAAATCTTTTGAATAACGAAAGAAAGCGAAAGTCATTGTTTTCGTCATGATTTTATCCCACTTTCCACTGTAATATGTATGTCATTCCAGCAAAAATATTATATTTCCATATTTATTTCTGAGAATACGTATATTCATTCAGTCACAGTTAAGGTAAAATATACTTGTGATGTAATATTTTAATGAAAATACGGTATCGTAGTTTTCTTTTGTTTCAAATTTAATTAACAAAGATTGATGTTTCAAATGTAATGAACAAAAATTTATGTCCAGTATCTATAAATAAACTTTAATAAATGAATACTTTATGTTTTACATCGTCCTGTGCTACCATACCATGGATTTGGCTACTTTGGGCTTGCTATGATGACACAAGAGATCTGCCCTGGCAACTGTACCGACACTCACAGCTGGTGGTGCGTTGGTGCATCGTTTCCATTGTTTACTGGTAGTTACTGGTAAATATTTTTCAACCTAATGAAACTATTACCCGTTTAGAGGTCGACCCCCAATTGTTTGCCAAATTATTTGGTCTTAAAAACTCGAACTACACAAAAGTATATACAGTAAATAAGGACATGGGGGCCAGGGTTTTTGGGGGGGGGGGGCAGCAAAAGCACACGGATTTTTAACATCCACGGGTATCTCTGTTTCGTAACCCCTGCGTATGTTAAGAGCCGACTGTACTGTATACGGTAATAAAGTTGCAATTAGTATATGCATAACACCTAACCACTTGTGTAAGGGTTCCCCTCTTTGCTGAATAAAATTGTCTGGCATTAGCCAAAATAAAATATGAAGTGGCATCCCCGTATTGAAGGGGTTAACATGATGGCAAAATTGCCAAAAGCGGGTCATTCTGCTGTAGTTTAGAATGTAATCCTCCTTTTTACTATTTTAACAGAAATTCAGGTACAGCAAAACCAATCATCAGAAATTCTTGTACAGTAAAATCAATCATCACAATTGCTTCATCCTGATGAAATATCTTGACTACTCAGCATACATGGTTATTTCTCATTATAATGTGTGCAGCCCTACACTATTCATAAACTGTACTGTACTTAGTATTTCATAAAGCCAGCTGTTCTCACCTAGTGGGTTGGCATTAAAAGGGCACCCATCAATAAAAATTTGCTTCACCATGCCTGATGGCAGCTGAATCAACAAGAACTGTGCCCATCCCCTGGTCTCCATTGCATTTTCTGGGCTGGTGTGCTGCCTGCACAGAGGTATACCAGGTGAATGTTTTACAGGCTGGTGCTTCCACTTGATTGTACAGGAGCATGAACTTAGGGGTAGTGACCTGAGACGCTGCTCCATCAAGTGCATAACACCACAGCCAGCTTTAATACCATGCTGTGCACGGTAGGTTGTCCCTGAAGCTCGTCAAGGTGGGTTACCCCAAGGCCAATTGCCTGCTTTTGCTTGAGCAAGAGGTTTGCAGTGAATGGGGGCAGCTCATTCATTTTTGCCCAACTCTTAATACCAATCATGACAAATATCACAATAAATAAAAGTGAACCTGCCACACTAACACCTCCCTCACACCACACAAATGAATGTCAGGAGACACTACGAGTGATCAGAAAGAAGGAACCCAACTAGAGCTGATAGCAGGAGCATACTGCAGATACAATACATGAAGAGCAGGTAAGATTGTGGAGACACTTAGCTATACAATAGAAGGCTCGATGTCTGCTGCATGCAAGAAACAAGGCAAAAAGGTGGCTCAGCAAGAATGATCACTGGTAAAAATGATAACTAAAAGATATTCTGGAAGGGGAGTTCTTTTTTATTAGTATACTGTATCTTGCTTTTCACTGTTGCTTTCTTTTAAAAGGTTAAAAAGTCAACATGGACTATGGCATTCTGTTCCGCAATACATGTTTCTGGATCGGTAAATCTGAGAGCTTCTATACCTACTGTGTCTTACCTTCCCATGAAGTGAATGACCATTCAGAGCTTCAATCGATGCCTGGCCCTCTTCTTCCTTTTCCATGTGAACAAAGCCATAGTTTTTCACAACATCTGCTTCTACCACTGTACCATGAGCTTCAAACAGGTCTCGAATGTCAGCGCCTGTAGCACGGTCACTGAGATTTCCCACAAATATCTTAAATGTGTTTCCCCGTACGGGCATTTTGGTTAGTCTGAAAACAGAAAGAAAAAATTTTTATCTCATAATTTTTCAAATGTTGTTAGAGTAGTATAATTACCAACCTTGCCACGATCTTTTTTGTTGACGTACAGTAATAACATTTTAAGTTAGCCCTTTAAGGATATTATATGTGATTACAGTAAAACCTCAATTTAAAAGACTAATAATGGGGAAGGGACGACCATTGATGTTGAAAGTCTGTTAAATTGAAAAGATCTTTTCAACAACATTTAACAAATGCTCAAACACAGCACAGTATAGTATTACCAAACCAGTAGCCAAATGAAAGTTAAAAACAGTTGCCATTTGCATACACTCCCTGCTTCCCCATATTAATGAAGACAGCTGGAACACTGATTCCTTTACAACCCCCCCCCCCCACACGTTTCGCCTCCTGCTCCTCCACTGAGCTAGCCAGCTAACTTGTGTGCAAAGAAATGTATATTCCCTTTATGTGTTTGCCCTTAGGACAATTATTTATTTTACCTTTTTTCACAATACAGTATGTATTTTGGATGGTGTGTGCAGGTAACTGAGTAAAAATAGATGAAGAAAGTTACGTACAGGTATATCTTCCCCAAAATGTAAGAAACAACCACAACACCTCACAGCTTGGCCCAGTAGCCTGGTGGTTACAGTGATGAGTCTAACCTGGCTACAATGCCATGATTAAACACTATTATATCAGTAAACACAAATAATAACAGTAACCCAGTGAAATATGGCAGGGAGGGAGGAGAGTTACAAGAGCAGACAATGTGCTAACTAGCAAACAGTGTCACTCACTCCCCTTACTGCTCCTGTTGGCCACTCCTAAGTTTGTCAAGGGGTTGTATTTTCTCCTTGAGGGTAATGACCTTTTCTCTCTTCACATTTGGGCGCCTTCCAGTGGCTGGATGAAGGTGGTCGAGGGCCTTTGGGAGCCATCACAAGCACGAGGAGCACAGTTGTTAGAGAGCAGAGTAGCACACGTGCGAGACGGACAAGTGTTTATCCCTGACTGAGGCACAGTGAGTGTGCGTGGCCCAGCCACCTGGAACAAGAGACACACCTTGCGGGAGACCACAAAACTCGTGCGCTACCTGTCCCGGCGATGAACATGCCGCCAACTTTAAAATTACCCGCAGACATTCTTAGATACATCCAGGGTGTCATCCACGAATAATCGAAGGACGCGAATTGTAAGTGTATGTTGCACTTTGGAAAGTTCCCAATTTGATTGGATGTCAACATAGGTGCTTGTGATTTTTCAACCATAAAATAAAAGATTTCCTAAAATTCTTCTACAGCAACTAGTTAACCCAGACCTGTTCCAGAGTATTCCAATAAAAGCTAAACAAGAATTAGAAGTAAAAGTAGACAGACAGATACTGATAGTTAATTTGGGTACGGTAAATATTCCACAAACATCGGCAAAAAATGTTGGCTTTTAAAACAACACTCTTAATGCAGTCTTTCATGTTAAATACACAGCTGATGAGGAAAATTGAGGGAAATGTATAGTTATTAAGTTATGAACCTTCCTACTCTGTTAATCTAGACCCAACAAGCTTTGGAAAAACAACATATCTTTAAAGAACCTCACCTAACCTAATTACAAAAACACTGACATACGATTTGGGTTAGTAACCCAACAAACACATATGATTTAGGGGTGTGCCATTTTTTATGGAATATTTGCCTTATTTTTTATGAGTAAAGTCACAATACACCGTCACAATGGTTGATAAACACTGCAGATACTGTAGTGTACTGATTTGATAACCCAAGACAGCCATTACAATTATATTCTTAATTGTACCTTGTGTGGGGTTCAGGAGAGTAATACTTTACTACAGTACAGTAAAGTAGCCTGTACTCATCCTAGAGAAAATATACATGGCAAGAGTCACATGAGACAATACTGTATATGTGTGACCCTTGTAATGAAAAAGAGTTTGCCAGAACCTAACTAGGCTTCATTCATCTTATAACTGTCCTACAGCAATACAATAGTATCTGAAACAAAAAGGTATAACAAAATGGGATTATATAATACTGAAAAATAGAAGGGACATTCAGAAAAGTGCAAAATGATCGTACAGTAATTCCTCATCCATATAACTATGCAAAAACTATAAGCATTACATCCCTTTAACATATGTTAGTACACAAGAACAATACAGAGGTAAACCAAAATTCCAATTAACTTCCCTCACTACCAAGCACCACAGGTTTCCCAGTCTCTGGTTTACTCCTGTACTAACACTGGATAGACCAACTGCCCGAACGGCTAGTTAGCTGGTAAGTTGTGAAAATTATAAAGAAAAATATACATTACAGGAGAGAGAATGTACATGAGAGACAATATATATGACAGAGAATATACATAACACTAGAACAACCACAAGACTAATCAAGACACTGGGTCTTTTCCTAACTAATTTGCTGCGTTAAAGGTGGAGGAGACCGTAAGCACCAGAGTGATTTTATGGAACTGCACCAAATTTTCAGGTGTCGTTTGGATGATACCGAGTAATAAAACTGAAGAGACAACAAAGTATTATTTTCTTTTTATCCATCCTTCAATAATAAATTAGTTGTTAGTGTGCAGGGCATGAAAAAAGGGGGAAATAATGGGGTAAAAACACTCTGATCATATGGCACTTATTTCACATCACTATCGTTTGTAGGCGAAGAAATAAAATAATTACCATAATTATGGCGCTGTCGAATCTCCCATGGCGACTATGTTTTGATTCACATCGTCTACTATACAGGAGCATCTACAGTCTTTGTTAACGTGTTAAGAAATGAACGACTAATCTCATTGACTGTGTTTATTACGATTTATATTGGGTTGTAGTCGCCCATTTTGGTAATCCTGGAGCAGATGAACAACACCAGAATCCACTGTTTGATTCTTTTAATTTTTCCACATGTTCTTTGGATGCTAGTAAGAAATAAAAGTTATGGTAATTATTGACGACTGACCTGCCGGGAAATTTTAATAGAAAACAATTATAAAAATGCAGCAACTTCACTGTTTTGTAGTGGACACTGTGGTTTTTATAATTTTAACCTAACCAAACTTTAGCTGATAGAAAAACAAGTGGTAGAAACAATGTTAGAAGACTTCAAGAACCTAACTAACCTTACCTAACTTCCTAGCCGTCTGACCCCCCCCCCCCACCCCCCGCATAATACAGTAAACTGAAAGAACTTACTATATTGTGTAATTTTAATTTTTTTGTGGATGTGAGAGCAGCCTGCTAAAGTACACTGAGAGTAGGCCATATCAGAGCACGGCGCAGATGAGTGGTTTGAAATACGCCAATATGATTAACTGTTTACATCCGGGAATGAAACGTCACCGCCGTATTACCACAGAGAAGTCAACGTGGTGCTTGCCTTGGCGCTTAATTATATACCAAATGAAGAATTTCCACAATAAATGATTATCATATCAGAACTCACGGTAATTATTTACGGCTTCACAGCCGCTGATTTTTCATAGAAAACGAATTTAAAACCACTGCAATATGACTGTGTTTTATAGTGAACACTGTCATAGTCATGGAAAATGTGTTAAAAGACCTCACCAACCTAACCAAAGAAACCTACCTTACCTAACTTCCTAACAATGAGGTTCAACCCTCTGGACACCCCGGCACAATAAACAGAAAGAACTTACTATTATATGGTGTACAGTGCTCCCACCAAGTACACGGATTTTAACCGCGTGGAAACCAACTGCGTACGCGCTTAAATGCCATGCAACCCAAGTACACGGGCTTAAATTTTCATGCAACTTGGCTCAGTGAGGGGGAAAAGAGAGAGAGAGAAAGAGAGGACATAAGCAGAGGAGTTGGCTGTTGATTGGCTGAGTAGCCAATACCAACCAATAGGAGATGAGGACATCACTTCCTGGCCGTGACGTCACCAACGACGTGGATGCCAGTCCCAGTCCTCCTCTCCTCAAGACAGCACTGAGGCTTGCTTTTTCCTGAATTTTTTAGGTGTTTTTGGCTGCGACAGCTACCATGGCTAACTCACCTACTGCTGTTAGAACTCCAGCACCTGTCCAGCCAGGCAGAAGAGTGGTATCGATGACCTTGGCATGCAAGAGGGAGGTACTAGACCGGCTGGATAATGGTAAAAGAGGCGGCAGTGGCCCAAGCATTTGCAGTCAATGAGTCGACCATCAGGAATAACAGGGAGAAGATACTTCAGGTCCTTAAAGATACCTCTACTTCTGCTCATGACCACATTCGTCATGTAAGGAAGGCTACAGTCGACCGTGGCAAGACGGAGAAGCTGCTGTCTATCTATCTTGATCAACAGACCAAAAAGATGATGCTGGTCAGCTCAGCAATGCTCTGTGAGACAGCTAAGGTCTACTACAAAAAACTGAATGCTGACAACGAAGATGCCAAACCCTTCGAAGCTACAAAGGGGTGGTTTAACCGATTCAAGTGTGTGAGAAGTTGCACCGTCCCAGATTTGAGAGAGAGAGAGAGAGAGAGAGAGAGAGAGAGAGAGAGAGTGTGTGTGTGTGTGTGTGTGTGGAGCAGCATACGCCTACCCTGAGGAAATTCAGAAGCTTTTTGTGGAAGGAGGCGACACACTCGACCAGATCTACAATTGTGATAAAACCAGACTTCTGTGGAAGCGTATGCCCACCAGCACCTTCATCACACAGGTGGAGAGAACTGTACTGGGATTCAAGCCTGCTAAGGACATGATCACCATCATGATGACTTGCAATGCCACAGGGAATCACAAGCTTCCTATACTGGCAGTGTACTGCTGTGCTATAAGAATGTCAACATGGAGTCACTGAAGGTCATGTGGATGTAAAAAAAAAGCTTGGGTTCAATGGCAAGATCTCTCATGACTGGCTTGACCAGGACATTGTGCCCATGATGAAAGCATACTGTCAGAGGAAAAATTGGGCACATTGTGTTCTCTTGTGTTTGGACAACGCACCTGGTCATCCAGCAATTTTAAGTT